AAACAAAACAAAAATGTAAACACTAAATTAAGTTTGTATCATTGTTTGAATAAACTGTACTTTGAATCTTACAAACATGCTAAGTTTATGCCAAAGCAAGGAATACATTATACATTGTATGCTTCTAAAGTAACAAAGTAATTTTCCATCTGCAAAGGTTGCTAATATTGCATCTTTTCAATTTTCCCAAACATTTCAATTTTTTTCTCAAAAATCCTTGGAGAGGGGGATATTTTCCCTCCATGGCTTAAGATTTCTGGAAATTTTGCATGAAAAGGATGACATTATTGGCACCTGCTGGACCTCAGTGAGGGGGAGCACTCCGTAATGTGGGGCCACCACTAAGAGGGTCCAGGGGGCTCCTGAAGGAGGGCTTCAAAGGATGATCCTCACATATTGGCTAGATTCAAATATAACATTATTTTAGAGGATGGAGTGAAGCATTAAACACCTTCATGCATTTTGCAGCTGCAAGTAAAAGCAAACCCCATGGTTTTGCAGGCTGAAAAGCAATGCCACGGAGCACTACTTTTTCCACCAGTCTTCTCGGTTGCCTACAACGTTCCCATGTCACCTTTGGCTTAGTACAAACTGTGACAGATGAATTAACAAAGCTGATGACCCTCTTCTGGGGAGACGGGATGCAGCAGCAGCAGTGCTGTGTTGGTCCCCTGCTGGGAACCTGACGTGGGAAATGGCTGGCACCTGTTACACTGAATTTTGAAAATATAAATATGAGTGATGCTCATCCCCAGAAGGAGGTCAGGGGAAAGCTCAGCTGTTCATTTCGCTGCTTAGTCAGTCCTCATCAATATACTTTTTTGCTGAGCCTGTTAAATAGTTTTAATTGGGCCAGTTCTCCTGGAGGACTGTCAGGGCTCGTCATCGTTTGGCCATGCGGCGTCCCGCTAGTGGGGGAAGAAGTGTGGCAGGGAGCTGATGGAGCTGCGGGCTTAATCCTACATGCCCACGTGGGCAGAAAGGGGGAATCGGGGGCAGGCTGGCAAGAGCATGCCAAAGTAGATTTCCTCACTTGCTGCACCAAGAAGATGAAAGCAAGTCAGGGCCTTTGGGTACCAGAGTGGTAAGCCATCCAACGCCTCTTCCATACACACAGCACGGCGTTTCACCAGGACATATTCAGAAGGCCCTTTTGATAGACTCGGGTCCACAGGAGCTGGCTTGCTGCAGCGCAAAACGCTGCCGTCTTCACTTAGGTTCCCCAAAAGTGGTTTCTTTTGCCTCTCAGACCCCACCTCTGCCTTCTAGACCCTCCGTCTCTTATTTTCCCTTCCTCTTCTTCTGCCTTTGCATGATTGTCTTTTCTAGAAGGCCTTGCCTTAGGATGTGTCCAGAGTATGAC